TGAACGCGCGCGAGCGCGGGCCGACCTTGCGGTTGGCTCTGTGAATGCTCGCGAGACTTCAGTGTAGGGGTTGCGTCTTCAAAGAAAAAAGCGCGCTTAGAAGGCCCTGGCTAGAGGCGATTCTGGCGTGGTTTCTCGTGTCTGCGGAGTCGCCGGCCCCCGCGCAGCATGATCTCCAATCGATGGCGGGGCTTGTCGTGTTTCGTTTCTCCTCTGTGCACCATCGCTAGCCGAAGTTAATTGCGCTGGAGGGCCGAGCGTTTGGTGGCGGCGCGGCCGCCGTGGAGCTCCGCGTCGTCGGATGTCACTCATGACGGGGGCGAGCCAGTGCACGGCATGAGGAGCTGCCGCCGCGCCAGCCGGCCCCTGGCCGCCCGGGAGGGGCCATGGGTCAGGGCCCTTCTTTCGGAAGACCGGGGCGTTGTGGTGAAGCTAAGCTCAGTGGATCCATCATGCGGTGCGACACAAACGAACGGGTGGGTGATGGCGCGCGGGTCGGTGTCTGATGTTCATTGCCACGTGGGGCAATGGACTCGCCGCGTTGGTGCCCCAGTACGGGCGTTTGGCTCGAGTCCTTGGCAGATGGCTCCTACTATTGTTCCCGCTGTGATTGTGCCTGCTAAGCGGCGCCTGTTGGCGCGTGCTAAGTGCTTCCTCGACGACGTGGATCTCCGCGCACTTTCACGAACGAAGTCGACGCTGTATCGGAAGGCGCGCACCCCGTTCACAAGGTGGCGAATATGGGATACTTGCTCGTCTAGGTGGCGCGGCTGCAACTTGTCAGCCCGCGCTGGTTCGAGGCGGACTACGACTCGCAGTTCAGTGACCTCAGGGTGCGCGCGAACGAACAGTTGACTCCGTGGGCTACGGCGACCCGCGACGCCCCGCGCTCCAGCCGCGCCCAGTGATGCACCGACCATCATTATATATATATATCCCCTCTCCAATGCCTGTGCGCGTCTTCTCTGTCCGAATTCTTAGGCCCGCTGCTCGGTGACTTTGAGCTCGGCTCGGCCTGCGGCCGCAGACAGATGGTCGACGTGACTGTCTGCCGCCTCTCCAAAACCCACGTCGAGTGTTGCCGACTTTGCATATGCTGGTAAGGGCGGCTCTTGTGGCGCTGTATTATGCTTACCCCGCCCGCTGCGCGTTGCGCCGTTCTAATCCACGGCCTGCCAGCAGCGCTCGGCCAGAGGGCCGTGTTCCGTCGTGCGGTCCTTCCATCAGTGGGTGGTGGGCTCGTTTATGGCGTCTGCAGATGCGCATGCGCGCAAGTCGGTCCTGTGGCTGGCCATGCGGGAGCTCGCGGGACCTCTTAGAGTGGGGTTGCGTCTTCAGAGAGAAGCGCGCTTAGAAGAAGCCTCGGGGCCAGCGTGGTTCGTTCTGTCTCCTATCGCGCCTTGGTGGGTCGCTAGTCCCTCCCGCCCTCGCACTTTGTAGTCGCGCGCAGATTCGTCGACAGAAATTCTGACCGGCCTGGCTGCAGTGATGCCTGTCCTTGGGTGTGCGGATGCGAGCTTTGGAGGTCGGTGCGAATGTCCTGGGGCCTTGTGAAGCGCGGGAATCCGATCACCAAAGCGAGCCACGTGCAGAACACAATGGAGTGTGCATAGCGTGCCGCACCATTCTTGCCAAATGGTGAGGGTGGTTCAAGGGCGACCCCTCCGATGGACAGGATGCAGTGGCCAGGCTGAGACGATGGCGTCCCGCAGCGGTGTCCACACCTCCCCGTCGCTTCTACCAATGCACCGCTGACGCCGCTCCAAGTCGGTTTCCGTTTTTTCATGTAGGTGGATCCAGCTGACAGGACTGCGGCGCGCAGTGATGTTTCTTTTGGTTGCTGCGCGTCGGTGTTGCAGTCTTGGTGCTTCGGCGTCGCGTGGGGCACTGCCGTTGCGAAGTGGTTGGCTGTCTAATGGACCTTCGTGCTACATGTCTGGGAAGGGGGAAGAACGAGGCCACAGTCGCACCTCGCGTGGTCGAGTTGTACAGCTGTCTCATCTGTTGCAGGGGATTGTGGGCTCGTCATTCTGATATCCTAGTTCGGTGCGTGTGGTTCACTGCGGGTCTGTGTTGGGAGCCCACCTTCACTTTCAGTAGTGTGCTCTAACTCCAGCCGACAGCATGCGGCAAGACAGGGGGTAACGTGATTGACAGCGTCTTTTTGCGCAATTCACTGGCGCGTTTCTGTTTGCAGCTGATCACAGCCTCAGTGATGTGAGATACCAGTGCGTGCGCTTTTCAGCTTGCTCGCCGCCGGCCTGTCGGTCATAGGGCTGACAGCCTGTCGTGCAATGCTTAAGCCCGGTGGCCAGAAGCCTCGCGCGTTGCGTCTTGGACGCGCATGCGCGCGGACCGTCCTTGAGTGGCAGGCTCTGTTGACCGCTCGCGAGACCTCTGGGATTGAGGTAGCGATGTGCAAAAAAGACGCGTGGACTCGAAGGGTCGCGCGATGGACGTCGTCTACAGGCCCAGAAGGCGTTCGCTCTTAATCGCGGTCTTTTGCGCCTAGCGGGATGACGGGAAGCGCGCTTAGAGTCGAAGGGTCGTGCGATGGACGTCGTCTCTTGGCGCGGAGGGAATTCTGGGTATCACTTGGGGTAGTCCAAGGGGGAGCGATTCGGGATCGTTCCCCAGTTCGTTGCTGCCGGATGACGGGAAACGCCCCTAGATCCGAAGAGTCGCGCGATGGACGTCGCTTCCAGGCCCGGGAGGAACTGCTTGTATCAATTGGGGAGGTCGAGGAGGGGAGCGGCTCGATGTTGCTCCATATTTCGTTGCGGTCGAATTCTGAAAGTAAACGTTTCGCCGGATGTATCCTCGCCAAATTGCGATGTTTGGGCTCGGGCTTAGGAGGTCTCTCGGTACAAATTCACTTTTTGCGTGCGACATCGTCCGAAAATGGGGATGTTGAAATCGATGGCGTGATATTTCGGATTTTCGAATATTGAGGTTTATGGTTGGGACATCATCGAACACATGAGATGTCACAAGAGGTGTGTGGCGATGTCATGTTGGATTCTTTTTGGTTTGACCCCCGAGACGGCCGAATATGCGAAATCGTTGAAATATCATTCGTGTTTTAGAAAAATTTGCCGTCAAGCGGGTCTTATGAAAACGGTGTATTATGATGACGTCGACGATGATTGTGATGGTGATGGTGATGACGAGGACGACGAGGAGGAGGAGGAAGAGGAGGAGGAGGAGGAGGATGAGGAGGAGGAGGAGGAGGAGGAGCCACGACTATGATGATGACGAGGAGGCGGGGGATCAGGAGGAACTGATGGTGGGGGTGGTGAGGGTGATGCTGAAGACGATGATGATAAAGATGATGATTTCACGTGAGGGTGGAACAATAGAGGAAATTGGAGGCGTACAGAGGAAATGGGGGGAGAATCAGGGACAGGATTGGGGAATGCGTGTCCGTAGGTATCCCCTGTGGACGGTCAGGAAGCTCGGCTACATTACATGGAATCGTGGTGTGACGTTTTTGCAAAGTTCTTCGCTTTCACGCGCTCTCCCTGCATGTCAGGAAAGGTTCTGAGCGCAAGCGGTTCGCCTAATATATCCTCACCACATTGCGTGTTGGAGGTTTTCGTTGCCGACGTTTTCTGTTAACCACTCGCGTTTCGCTCAAGGCATCTTCCGCGATCGGGGTTGTTGAAATCGCTTGCATGTTTTCACTTTCGGCTCTTCGAACGTGGGGCTTTCGCCAGGAACATCCTTCAACCATTGATATTTCGGAGATGATGATGACGCTGATGATGATGATGATGATGATGATAATGCTGATGTGATGGTTGTTTCGGTGGTGGTTAGGTTGACGATGACGACGATACATATGATGGTTACACTGCGGCGAGTCGAAGAAAACTGGAAGCGTACCGAGGAGTGAGGAGGAGATTTAGGGACAGGCGTGTGAATATTCGGGGGGCGCGTGTCCATGGGTATCTTTCGTGGACTTTCAGGAAGCTCGGCTACATTGAATTTGATCGTGATGTGATGTTGTTGCACGTTCTTGCACCGTTCTTCCCTTTCGCGCGCTTCCCGTGCAGATGGCAGTTTAGCCGCTCGAAACATCCTCGAACCTTCGGTTCCGGAGGGTATTCCGAACCAGCATCATCTTGGAATCGCTCCCAGCGTGATTTCACGACCCAAAAGAGCCCCGTAAATCCCTCCCGGAATATACAAAGAGGGCCCCAAGAGGCTCGCAAGAGCGCCCGAGGAGGCCTCCAGACGGCCTAGGACGGCCCAATATGGCGTCGAGACGGCCTGAGAGAGCCCCCACAGAACCCTAAGACACGCCCCGGCAGGCCCCAAGAGGCCCCCAGGATGCCCGAAGATGGCCTCAGACAGCCCCAACAGCCCCCAGGGTAGCCTCAAAAGATCACGAGGACCCCCCCCGCTTCTTCGACGTCCTTTCCCTCGGGATCGCTACCGCCCTCCGTCGTCGTCGTCCTCCTTCTTCTTCTCCTGCTCCTCATCCTTTTCCTCCGCTTCGTTCCTCCTCGTGCTCGTCCTTCTCCATATCCGCCTCCTTGTTCTTGTGATTGCCTTCCTAGTTACTCGTTGTCCTCCTGCTCCCCTCGCTGCCCTCCTCGTCCTCCACGCTGTCATCCTCTTCATCCGCCGCCTTGTCGTCGCCGTCATCCTTCTCTTCTTCTCCTTCCTGCAAGCCCAATGGAGCAACATTTTTGGCCCGATCAGGTTCCCTCTCTTTCCCCCTACCGCTTCGCCTTCCGCGTCCCTCCATCCCCCGTTCTGCCTTCTCGCCTCGCACCCCTGAGCATCCCTCCTCCGCCTCTTTCCTCCTTTTCTCCTCCTCCTCCTCCTCGTTGTTTTACCCTTTGTCTTTCTCCCTGATGCCCTACTCCCTTCCCCCCCTCGTTTCTCCTCGCTCCTTCTCCGTCGTCGTCGTTTTCGTCATCGTCGTCGTCATCGTCGTCATCGTGTCGTCGTCGTCGTCTTCGCCTCATGCTTTCCTCCTCTCGCAACGGGAGGTCGCCTTGCAGACGCTCCTGGGGCTGCCCACTGCGGGTCTGAGCGCCGTCGTCGTTCCGTACATGCTTGAGGCCTCCGTCGTCGGCGTCGTCGTCCTTCTTTTCCTCCTCGTCCTCCTCGTCCTCCTCCTCCTCCTCCTCCTCCTCCTCCTCCTCTTCCTTTTATTAATAATAGTAATAATAGTAAGATTCATCGTCGTCATCATCATCATCATCATCATCATCGTCATCATCATCATCGTCATCGTCATCGTATTCATCGTCATCGTCATCATCATCATCATCATCATCATCAACGTCGTCGTCGTCGTCGTCGTCAACAACATCACCATCAGCAGCATCAGCAGCAGCGTCGTCATAATCATCACCATGAACGTCGTCATTATCATCAGCATTAGCATCATCACCAGCACCAACATCAGCACCATCATCTTCATCATCATCATCATCAGCAGCGCCATCATCACCATCATCATCACCACCATCATCATCATCATCATTATTCATATTCTTATTATTGTTATTCTTTCAATCCGCATCATCATCATCATCATTATTATCAGCAGCATCATCATCATAACCATCACCATCATTATAATCATCACCAGCAACATCTTCATTACCACCACCACCATCACCACCACAAGCACCATCATCATCATCATCATCATCATCATCATCATCATCATCATCATCATAATCATCATCATCACCATCGGCCTCCTGCAACGCAGCACCATCATCGTCAGCGCCATCACCAGCAGCACCATCATCAGCGTCAGCCTCAGCATCAACATCAGCATCAGCATCAGTATCAGCATCAGCATCATCATCTTCATCAGCATCAGCATCAGCATCAGCATCTTCATCAGCATCAGCATCAGCATCAGCACCAGCATCAGCGTCAGCATCATTATCATCATCATCATCAGCATCATCATCATCATGATCATCATGATCATGATCATGATCATGATCATGATCATGATCATGATGATGATGATCATCATCATCATCATCGTCATCATCGTCATCATCATCATCATCATCATCATCATCATCATCATCATCATCATCATCATCATACAGCGGCTTGTCGGCATTTGTGGATTATCCGTGGCCGCAACACTTTCGCTCAAGTTCTTGAGGGTATGCTGGCCCAGCTCGAACGCCTCGCCCACGACCTCAGCAGTGCTGTCACTATTGCCATCATAGTGCGTGGGAGTTCGACCCCGTGCCCAGATTGTCTGCTCGCCCGCGCTCCACTGCCGTGCCTTGGGGTGCCGCTGCCCCAGCGGCGAGGGCCAGATCACGCCGATCTCGCCGGCGGGGTGGTCGACGGAGCTCCTGGTCGTGCTGGTGCTGTTAGCCTTCTCATACGGTGTCCTCGTGGGTGGGCTCTATTTCAACCAGACGCCGACCGCAGCCACCAAGGTGCGCGTGGTGCGGGCTAAGTCGAGCCCGTCCGCGTCGGAGGAACCCATCACCACCCTCGACCTTGCGTCGGCCGCCGCCGCCCAGGCGCGTAGCTTCCGCCGATGAAAGTCATCATGGCGATTCCTCTCCCTGGTCAGCTCCACCTTTTGCGATACAACATCGGGGCCCTGCCATCTACCACGAAAGATTGACCCTCCTGCCTGGCTACATACTGACGCCAGATGGCGACGACTACTCCGAGAGCGGCGTTGCAGGCGGAAGCCTCCGCTCGGTGCACCTTCTTGAGGGTCAAGGCGAATGGCTACCTGGAGTTCCCGCGAATCACCTCGATCAATTTCGGCAACTCCCTCGTGCTGCAGATGTTTGGGCATCACTTCGTAGGGGAGTCGCCCAGGGGCACGGGCCCCTTCCCGTCTCGCTCTTCAACCTGGAGCTCAGCGCGACCAACGTCCTGGGCGCGGCGGCAGGGGCCCTGGCCCTGCCCGACCCGCTGGCGCCAGTCCCGCCGCCCGCCGCGCTGCCCGCGCCCGCGCCGCCCGCCGTGCCGTCGGTGACGGCCTTGGCGCGCTGGCCGCCGCGCTCGGCGGCGGAGCTCCTGCTCCCGCGGCGGGTGCGGCCGGCCCCGCAGGCGCTGGTGGGGCCCTAGGCCCTCCCGCGGCGGCGACGGCGGCTGGCGACCCCCGCGTGGTGGCCCTTGTCCTCGACGGGCGAGGCCTGCGCGACTTGAGTTTCGGCGAGGCGCTCAATCTGCAAACCGTGGCGGACCGCGCTGACTGGCCCGTGAAGGGGCCCAGGACTTTGTATTGGGTGCTCGGGTTCACGCAGCGGATGGCTGGCGCTTCCATGGCGTGGCACACCCGATGGCTGGGGATGATGCAGCTCGGCGAACATGACGAGGGCGCCAGGCTCCACGAGGCGATGTGCCGTGTGATCGAGACCGCGCTGTGCCACGACCAGATCGTGATCTGCGAGCTCGCCCCCTTCGGGTACCTGTCTCGCCAGCTCCAGCTGATCGAGGAGCGGGTCCTCGAGGGGCGTGCGCGCAGGGCGCAGCCGGCGCCCAAGGCGAAGGCCCAGGCCAAGGAGGCCAGCCCTGCCGACGTCGCCTTGGAGGTCGGGCACTTCCTCGGCGCGGGCGAGACGAAGGGCAACCTGCGTATCAGTCCCGCTTTGCTGGATTGGATAGCAGAGCAGATGAAGAACGAGGCCGCAGTGGCAAAGGAACGACGCAGGTCTCGCGAGGAGCGAGCCTTACGGGCCCCATGACGTACCCGAGGACGCTGCCCAGAAAGAGCCTGGTCAGCTACGCCCTGAGCCCCTCGGGGCCCCGCCTGGTCTGGAGTCGGCCGCGCGCGGTGACCGTCGCAAGCGCGACGTTTTTCCTTTTCCCTATCTCCCGGTGGATGGGCGACGCCGCTGGCCCCTTGGGCGCGCTGCTCGTCTGCGTGCCGCCGAAGACGCGGGCTGGAGGGAGTGGTGCAACGAGGGGTTGACCGCTTTCAACTGGCCCCGCTGCGGCAAGGGCGAGCCGTGCGAGGCCCGGGGCGGCGCGCGCGCGCCCGCGGTGCAGGCAGCCTCTGTGGAGTACCTTGCGGACCAGTACCGCGAGTACGAGCTGCCCACCGCCTACTCGGAGAGGGGTAGCGCCTGCGAAGCACCCCTCGTGGAGATGCTCGCTCGGGCACCTGGCTGCGCTGGCGACAGCGGTCGGGCACGCCCCTGCAGCAAGCCTCTTGTGGCCTGGCCCGGGTCGACGAAAGCAGTCTCCACCGCCGGCGTCGTCGCCGAGGCCAACTCCGCCGTGCTGCAGGGCCGGGGGCAGAGCGAGCTGAATCCCGAGTCGGTCGCGGCGGAGTTGCGTGAGTCTCTGGGGGCGTTTCGCCCCCGCGTGGATCCTGAGTTTCGCCGCTGGCCGAAGTCGCGCGCCCAGTTTTGGAAGCAGCTGGAGGCCCGCGACATGATGTTGCGGCAGGCCGCCAGCCCACATGCCTCTTTTACAAATGGTTTGTTTTTTTGTGGAGAAGTCCAAGCACGTGCCCGGGCTCGCATTCGACGCTCGTTTGGCCAACTGCAGTTTCACGGCGCCGCCGGGCGCGAGGCTTTCCGCGCCCAGCGCGTGGGTAAGCGTCGACTGCGGCGACAGTTTTGTCTTTGCCCAGGGCGACATCCAGTGCGCGTTTTATCGCCTGCGTTTGCCTGCAGGAATGGGGTCGCTGTTCTCGCTGCCCGCGATCTCCAATAGATACGTCGGTCTCAAATCCATCAATGGCACCCCCTAATCGGTCTCAGCGACTTCGTCCAGCCCATAGTCACTGTGGCCCCCGTGGGGTGGAGCTTGGCCCTTCACTAGTGTCAGAGTGCCCTAACCAGAGCCCCCTCCGACGTTGGATTCCAGGATGCGGAGATGATCCTGGATGGTGGCAGCCCGCGTCCATTGGTCTCCCCGACGGACGCTCTGTGTGCAGGATATGTCGATGATTTCAGTGTTGTGTCTAAGAGCCCAGAGATAGCCGCGTCCCGTGCCCGTGCCGTCGCCGACCTTCTCGCTGCTCGCGGCCTGCCCGTCCTGGGCTTCTCGCCCGCTGTCATTGCTCTAAATTACAGGGGTTGCATATCGACGGGCTGTCTGGGCTTCTTCGTGTGCGTCCTGATCGGCTCGCCCGCACCGGCCAAGCAGTTCTTGGGCCACTTCGACGTGGGCGGGCCTCTTCTGGGGCCGTCAGCGTGCTGGTGGGGCATTGCACGTGGGGGGTGATCTTGAGACGTGACGTTCTGGCCATCTTCAGTGCCGTCTATCGGTTCATCGGCGTCGTGGGGCCTCATCCTGGGCCTCTTTGGGAGTCTGTAATCAGGGAGCTGAGAGCCGCGGTGGCCCTGATCCCGCTTTGGAGTGTCTCTACCAGGTCTCGGTGGTACTCACGGGCTTATGCTTCTGACGCTTCACCGTTCGGGAAGGGGGTGTGCATCAAGGGCGTCTCCCCTGAGCTAGCTTCGGAGGTCGGCCGAGTTGCGCAGAAGTGGAGGTATCACCAGGGGTCCGGCGTGTCCGCCAGGGCCCATGCTTTCGACGATGCGGCCCCCATAACGATGCCGCTGATACTCGCCATCACGCCACGCCACCGCCGTCTACGCCATCATCATCTACGGGCTGTCCTGGCTTCCTGGAGGTCCCTGAGTCTGTCTGCGGGTCCCAGAGCTGGAAGATTATTCACTCGGGTCGTCGCACCCGCACTGGGTGCAATATCTTGCAGTACGAGGCCGAGGCCCCGTGGTTCAGTGTCCACCGCGCGTCCAGGCCCCTGGGGGCCCATCCATCGCACCGTCTGCATCGTTGACAACTTGGCTCTAGCCCTCTCCGTCGGGAAGGGGCGTTCTGGCAGCCCTTTCCTCGTGCGCGCCCTGAGGCGCATCGCGGGCGTGGCCCTGGCATGTGGTTTTCGCGCGCTGGTGCGCTGGGTGCCATCAGAGAGGAATGTCTCCGGCAAGCCGTCGAGGGAGGGTTTCTTCGTCGGCCCGAGCTTCGAGGACTTCGCCTCGGACCAGGTCGCGCGTCGGCTTCGATTCCCCAAGCGAGGTGGTCAAGGCGACGAGGGGGAGGGCGGCCCACCCTAGGCTCTGCCGCCTCCTGCGAGGCAGCCTGCCGCTGCTGGGCGGCGCCGCGGCCTCGGCGACGATGGGCAGGAGCTACCCGGCCTGCGCCCTGATGTTGCTGATCTGGCGCCTGTGGGCCGCGAGGCCCTCCGAGGTCAGCGCCGTGCTGGGCATTGTCCTGGTGGTGCTCTTCGCCCATCTCATCGTCGACGCCAACTCCAGCGTGACGGGCTGCGCGACGAAGGGGGCGCTCACCCTTGACCTGCCCTCGACGCTGGCGGGGGGCAGGCCGCCGCCCAGGGGCGCTCGCTCCTGCCGGGGCTGGGCCAAGCTCGTGCCGCCGCCGACGCGCCTGCCACTGGCGCGCGTCGCTCTGCCGGTCCAGGGGCGCATCGGGGAAGCCAGCCTGTGGAGCGCCACCCCCGACCAGGCGCCCCAGACCTTCAAGGGCTCCCTGATCCCGCTCCGCCTCGACGGGGGCGGGACCTCGCCGCGCTCGCTGAGCCGCGGGGGGGCGCGCGGCGACCACCCCTCGTGTCGTCGGACGCAGTGGGGGGTGAACTGCCGAGGCCGATGGGGGACGGGGCATGCGTTGAGCAGATATGCCGAGCGTGCCCGGATGCTGCAACAGCTGGGTCAGCTCTCACCTGTCCTCGTGGACGTCGGGGGCAAGGCCGTGAAGGACTTCCTCGGCTTGATGGAGGGGCTGGCGCGGACGGGCACCCTCACTCGGCCGCTGCCGCCGACCCTCCCCGCGACCGCGCCGACTCCACCAAGGGCGGCGCCCGCGCTGACCGACCAGTGGTCCTTCGAGTGAGGCGGCTGTGGAAGCGGGCGCGACAGCGCGCTGCCGGCATGTCGTGCCATGTCATTTTGTGCGCCTGTATGCCGTATCGTGTTCGGCGAGCTCGCGAATCTCGTGGGCTCGGAACAGTGGCCGCCAACCCCGCTTGGCACCGTCGCGACGATGCTGGCGATCCTCATGTGCTGAAGACTCTGATAGGATGGGTCCGCTCCTCGGCGGTCCGCCTCCCTTCCTCGTGCCACCTGGAGGACAGGGGCCGCTCGGATGCGCCGTCTTGATTTTTCTGCTGGAGGGGGCGACGGACGCGGAGGCCGACAGACGGGCCCCCCGCGTCGCGAACGCCCTCGCCGCCGCCACCTTTCGGCTCATTGCGAAGCGCATCTTCCACAGGGTCCCGACCATTTTTATGCACCCTGAGGCCAGCCTGATTTGGACCCCCCCCTCCTGTCCCCTCTCCTCGCCGCCTCCTCCTCCTCCTGCTCCCTCGGCTCCTGTATGTTTTCTGGCCGAGTCAGGCAGAGGATCTTTATGGTAGGTTGGGGCGTCACCGAACTCGGCCTCCTCGCGCGCCGTTGCCACTGCTCCCGCGGCCTGTGCGACCGCGCAGGGCGGCGCCATTTGGGGGGCCACGGTCGTCCAGCGCTGGACGCAGTCGCCCGAGCATCTGCGAACGCGCGCCCCTTTGAAGTGGCCAGCGCTGGCACGGACATGATAGTGGCCGCCGCTCGGCAGCTGTCCCGTGCCGCCAGGTCCAATACAGTTTTTGGTCAATGATTTTTTCGGCTATGGCCATATGTCGGGACTATCGTGAGGTACCGTGTGTGTGCGTCACCAGCGGTCGTCTCGAGCTCGTGGCCGCCTTTCGCCATTTGCACAACATCAACGAAGATGGCCCCCGATCTATCCACATCACCATTATCATCACCATCATTCCTTCCTGCTCGACGAAGAAGAGGGGGGATCGGGTAGGGGGATATGGTGACCGGGCTCTGGACGCCACCCACCATTGGCAATGACATGGCAGACACGGTTGCGCATAATGGGGTTCGAGAAGCAGCCCAGGCGATGAAGCCAGAAGTCCGTACCCTGAGAGAGTTGGACATCCTGATTGCACGTATTCCTAGGTCAATTTCACCTTTGCAGTAGCAGTGCTGCCATCTAGACCATGGGCTCTTGGATTTCCTACATCACCCGCCCTTCAAAACTACAAAAATTGGACGAGTTCATGTCGAAGTCTGTCCACGAAATGACGCAACATGGCAAGAAGTGGAGTTGTGTAATGTGCACGGGATCTGCATGGAAGTTTTCTTTGATGGAATGGTTCGCTGACAATCAGTTTTCTGTAACATTGCCTCCTCAAGTCCAACATGGCAGGACTGTGTGTACTGTTCTGCAACATGTGTCAATGGGCACTCGGCACATAAGTACTTCAGACCATACGATTGCCATGCATGGCCTCGTACGGTGTTGGCGTTGCGCCCATGCTGGCGTACAGAGTCCTGGCAATGCCCGGATGGTCAAGCTAGCAGGCGAGCGTGTCAGCCACCCTACTTTTGGCGGGACCGCAGTTTTGAATTGATAGTGCCAAGGTCTGCCTCGTAAAGTTGGACAGGCATGGCTCTATGGCACACGTTGCGGCTGCGTTGCCCGGGAGAGGCGCAGGAGGAACCGCATATATTCGATGATTGGAAAATTGTTGGTTATTGCGCTGAGAGCGACTGTTGTACATGATGTTGGCTTACTGGGCACCTGGTATGTGGTGCTTGCTTTCGAAATGCGACCGTCGCAACGTGGTTTTCAAGCCTTCGGGTAATACTCCGAGATAGCGAGTCTACTCCTACTCCTTTACCCTCCTCTCTCTTCCCTCCTTCCCTTCGCTCCTCCCCAGGACATCCGAAGTCGTGTGCATATCGTTTTCACGACGCGGGCCCCTGGTATCGACCCCTCGTCCCAGATCTGTTTCGTTCCAGATCGGTTCGATCGTTCGTGCCCATGTCAGGGTCTTTGTTTTCCTCTCGGGGGACACCGCCTATGCACCAATGCCGATGTTGGCCAGGCCCATTCTTAGACCAGGATTCGCACGGCCAGAGTGGGTTTCGAAACGTCGCTGGCGTTTTCCAGCCCTCCTACCGAGTTCTGCAGCAGCAGCACGCGGGGCGTGATGGGCACCATGATCAACCTGGGCTGGCCGCTCGGCGCCATCTACAGCGTCCTGGTCGTTCGCGCGGTGGGCACCGACAACTGGCGGCTGTGCCTGCTGGCGCCCGTGCCTCCCTGCATCCTGGCGCTCGGAGGGCGCCAAGCGGCCAGACCTCCAACGCCTTGCAGTCAAACTCAAGACGGCTGTGGTTCCGCATTTGTGGCCCCCAGGTGCCAGACTCCAGGCTGCAGGATCGTAAGAGGCGACCCAGGATAAAAAGGCGTGTCTTCGTGGAGGGTTCGAGAGGTCCAGGCGGCCATGTCATGGGAAATCATGGCATCGGATGTATGGGTGCGCGCAGGTACCGATCCCGCCCAGGATCGGTGCGCATGCCTCCTTGGCCAAGCCAAAGGGTGCGCGTGCCCATTCCTCCAACGTCTTGATGTTTTGTCCATGCGTGGTCCCCAGAGCTCTCGACCGCGTTCCTGGGGCCGGCTTTTCATTCCGAGTTTTTTCTTGATGGCCTCGATGCCCGAAAACTGTCCCAAAAACCCAAATCTAGGATGATCTCCAGGATGAGAATACGACGATCCCAGGCCCTGGACCGACCTGGCCAGGATTGGTGTCCATGTACGGAGGGTGTTCTCACAGGCGCTGTGCTGCCTGCCCCTGCTGCCGGAGAGCCCGCGATGGCTCAGCGCCGTGGGGAGGCACAAGGATCTTCTTGTTCCTGTCTTAGTTTCTTCCTTCCTCCTCCTTCCCTTCATCTCCTCGTTCTCTCTCCTCCCCCTCATCATCCTGATCCTCATCCTCATCCTTATCCTCATCACTACCGTCACCATCACCATCACCCTTACCATCATCATCACGATTCTCATTGTCATCAGCAACAGCAGCATCTTCAGCATCAGCAGCAACAACATTGTCATCACCAGTGTCGTCATTATCATCAGCATCATCAGCATCATCATCACCAACATCATGACCATTATCACCACCATCACATCATCGTCATCACTATCACCATCACCATCACCATTACCCCCACCATCATCACCATCATCACCATCATCTCCATCATCACTGTTACCACCATCATCATTCTCATCACCATCATCATCATCATCACCATCACCACCATCATCGTCATCATCGTCATCGTCATCATCATCATCATCATCATCATCATCATCGTCATCCTCATCCTCATCCTCATCCTCATCCTCATCCTCATCCTTATCCTCATCCTCATCCTCATCCTCATCCTCATCCTCATCCTCATCCTCATCCTCATCCTCATCCTCATCCTCCTCATCCTCATCCTCATCCTCATCCTCATCATCCTCATCATCCTCGTCCTCATCCTCGTCCTCATCCTCGTCCTCATCCTTATCCTTATCTCCTCCTCCTCCTCTTCTTCTGGGCATTCGGAGGCCCTCGTCGCCGCCATGGCCCCGAAAGCGCGGTGAGAACGCACGCCAGGAGAGGTTTCGGGTTTCAGGGGATCCTTGTAGAGCCTCGATCTTCTGTCCCTCTGCGCTTCCCAGGAGCCCTCGTCGCCGCGTCAAAAAAACAGCTCATGATGAAAGTTGGTTCCTGGGGGACGCCCGCTGGGTCCTGCACCTGCTTCGCTGAGACCCCTATGTCCTCATGCCAACTTGGGGGCTTCAGGAAGCGGTCTTCGGGGAAAAGCGGCCCTTGGGGGTGGGACTGAGATCTCTAGGGACAGGGGGAGTCTGTCATGCCCCGATGCCGATGTCGGCTTGGCACGGTTCTTGGGCTCCAGGGTCGGCGTAGGTTTACCAGGTCGCCCGTGGGGGCGCGAGGTTGTTCACGTCTCGCGCTTCGCGGTCTGGGCGGGAGAGTTGCTCTCCTCCAGGGGGCGGCGCAGGGGCGCGAAGCGCGCGGCGCGAAGTGCAAAGTCGGGTGAGCGATGCAGGGACAGGGGGGTCGACCGCGGTATCTCGCGCGTAAGCCGCCTGCGAACGTTCGCGTGTAAGCGTCCTCGTTTCCACGCGATGTGACGCGCTGGCGGCCTGCAGGGGCTGTTCCGCAATGTCGCCGCGTCGTCGTGCGCAAGCTCAAGTGTTGCTTTGGCGTTCAGGTGACCTCGGTGTGTGCCCTCCTGGCTTGGCTGGGAAGGCGGGAGCACAGATCCCAGGCCCAGGACTGGTGTTGGTGCACGGGGCAGGCCCCGGGAGGTCTGAGGAGGTCCCTGGAGGCCTCCAGAGGCCCGAAACGGTCCCCAAACTCACGAGAGCCTGGATCCTCTTCCCTTTTCGCATCTTGCTCCTCCGTTGTAGCACGCACTCTCTTCTTCACATCAGACTCCAGCTCTTGCGGCAGTATATGTCATACTGCTGCTGCCCAGACGTGGAGCGTCAGATGGTTTTGTAACTTCACTCGCTGATGTGGACGCCAGCGTGCGGCTATTGAGCCAGCCGCCCAACGAGGGCCCAAGAGGCCTCTGGGCGCCCTCTGGCGCACGAACACCAAAAGTTTCGATCCTCGATCCTCCATTCCAGACCTCCCTCCCTCCCTCCTCCACCCCAGGGGCTGGCGCCAGGGGGGCGGCATTCTGAGAGGGTAAGGGGCTTTGTAGAAGTGGTCGGAAGCTCCTAAGAAGTCTTCTCAGAAGGCAGCAGGGTTTCTTAGAAGCCCTCTGCCTTCTTAGAAGGCCGCCCCCCTCCCCTCCTCCCCGACTCAAGTCTGCCCAAAACCGGGCGCCCGACCTCTCCCGGGACCCATCATGGCCGGTCTTCCGACTCGCGTCCAGGCGTGGCCTCGAGAGCCTCGAGAAACGCCCAAAAACCGTCAGAACGACGGCGGCAACGTCGTCGTCGTCGTCGTCGTCGTCGTCGTCGTCGTCGTCGTCGTCGTCGTCGTCGTCGTTCTGCGAGCCGCCAACCCCCTGCCAGCGCTGTGAGAAATCCTTCAACCTGAACCTCCTACTCGTGTGGGAGCACAGACGAAGGCGGGCAGCGAAGAGGAGGAGGAGGGTGAGGAGGAGGAGGAGGAGGAGGAGGAGGAGGAGGAGGAGGAGGAGGGGTGGCTGTCATTCTGTTCACGCGGCCTACTTCTCAGCCCTTCGCTTAATTTTCTGCTTCCTCCTCCATTTGCTCCCTCTTCGTTCTCGGAGTAGGGCGACTGCTCACCAGACTGCGTGCCAGGGTTTCGAGCTTCGGGTTTTCAGCGTGCGGCACCGCTGTTCTGGGGTACGGGCTGGCGTGTCCAGGGTACGGCGCATGCATCGTTTTCGGGGTACGAGCAGCGTTTCCGAGTTTCTGCTCGGTGTACGCCGCCAAATTCCTGGGTTGGGGACGCCGACCTCCATCCTGGACCTCCATCCTGGATCATCCCATCCTCTCACCCTCTCTCCTCCCCTCTCCTCCGGCGACACCAGCTTGGCTACTGCATCACTGGACACCACGTGCCTCTTGCGGAACAGCCCTTATCAACTTCAGCCCCAGCCCGAGCAGTGGGGCAGCCACGTGTACCATCCGTCCTTGCTTTGAGGCTGCGGCCCCGCGCCCTTCTGCCCTGAGGGCTCCGGCACCCCTCGCGGGTGCCCGACACGGGCGCCGATCCCTCCCATTGCCCTCGGAGGAGGCGCAGCAGGTCCTGCGCCTGATGTCCGCCTCGGGGGCGTTGGGCGGCGGGGCGCCGGCGCCGGCGGCCTCCCAGGCGGAGACTTTGCCGCTCCTGCCCGAGGCGCCAGGGAGTGGCCAGATGCTGGGGGGGAAGGAGGCAAGGGGGGCTGCCCATCGCGATGTTCCTTCCGGCAACCCCTCTGGCCCTACCCCCGCCCGACCGCTCGACGGAAAAACAGCCGGAGGAGGGGGGAGGGCGACGGGGAGGAGCAGGAGGCGGTGGTGGGAAGGGGGAGTGATGCTCGTAGGCCTTCGGGGGCCGCTGCTGCCCGAGGGCGCTCGGGCGCTGCCCGAGGGTGGAGGGGGAGATCGGACATTTTTGTCGGTTTGCACCTACGTGTGTGTGTATATATATATATATGTGTATATATACACACATTTTTGGACGCCCGAAATGGGTACGGAAAGAATGGGTACGATGCCCAACAGCAGTTCCTGTTCATTTTGAACAGGACTCGCTGTCCTCGCCGCCGCGGCCTGTGTCCATTCGAGACAGAAGGCCGCCTGCCCAACAGCGGCCGCTGTTGGTTTGCGACAACATTTGTTGTTGGGCATCGTACCCATTCTTTCCGTACCCATTTCGGGCGTCGAAAACACACACACACATATATATATATATATATAAGTATATATATGTATGTATCCAGATGTATGTATCCAGATGTATATCTGTATATTTGTATGTATGTATGTATGTATGTATGTATGTATGTATGTATGTATGTATGTATGTATGTATGTATGTATGTATGTATGTATGTATGTATGTATGTATGTATGTATGTATGTATGTATGTATGTATGTATGTATGTATGTATGTATGTATGTATGTATGTATGTATGTATGTATGTATGTATGTGTATATATATATATATATATATATATATATATGATACACAAAAACGTTTAGGGTAGTTTTTTCGGCAAGGTGGGTGGCGGGTCGATCGTTTCGTCGGTCGAGCTTGTATGCACGGCTGCCGTTTCGGGTATCGAGACGCTTTCGGCCCTCCAGGAGGGCATATCTGGCCGCCCTCCCTCGGGCTATCGTGGAGAGTGGACTCCTCCCTCCCTCGGGCTATCGTGGAGAGTGGCCTCCTCCGCCGCCGGCCGCGGACTGGCGGCCAGCGCCGCCGCCGCCTGGCGCCCCCGCAGCGGGCGAGGCGGCTGCTGGCGCGGCGGCCCCCCCTGCGAGCTCGCGGGAGGGCGGCCTGGGCGGCGCAGGCCTGGGCATCAACCGCTCGGGGCTGCCCACGGCCGCGGGCCTGGCGGGCGCCGCCCCGCAGGTCGCCGCGTGCCGCCGCTGCACGTCGTGCCTGGGCCGGCTCGGGCCCCACGAGAGCCTCGCCTTCGCCACGGAGGGGCGGTTCGTGGAGGTCTGCGAGTTGTGCTACCTCCTGACGCGTGCTACCCAGCACGCGTTCGGGTCGCGGCTGACCCCAGGCGAGCGGCTCGCGATCTTGGGCCGCGCGCGGTAGCTCACCGCGCTCGTGGCCGCGCCCGCGGGGTGGCCGACGAGGAGCATGGCCCCGAAGGCCAGGCCCAAGGCCAAGGCTAATCGCGGCCCGCGGGTCTGGCGCCCTGGCACAGGCGGGAAGGGCCGCGGTCGCGGCCGCGGGTGCCGCTAGAGCGGGCTGCTGAGAATGGCGAGGCGGATGGTGTGGCTGCTCCTCTGGGTCGGGATGGCCCGAGCGGAGGTGGGCGCGGATTGCTTCGCCGCCCTTGGCGGCCCCTAGAACCAGCGGCCTTGCTCGAGGCGGCTGTTGCCCCGGGGGCAGCGGGGGCCCCCCCGAGCGCTCCCCGGTCGACCCTTCGGGTGGAGCTGCAGGCGGCGGGGGCCCAAAGCCCGACTGGCGGCCCGGCGCGCCGTGGCGATCCACCGAGCAGGCCTTGCTCGAGGCGGCTCGCTGGAGCCGCCTGGGACCTGCTGCGCTCGCCGTTCGACGCGGGCCCGATCCTCAAGCACCTCTTCCTGGAGTTCCCTGGTTCCCTCGGTCGCTATGCTCGTGTGTCTCTTGATCTGAAGTTCTGTAAGCTCTCGGCCACCAGTGGCGGTCGGCTTCAGCGCGAGCTGTCGCCGTCACCCCATGCCCTAATCTGCGCGCCAACGAGGCCATCTTCAGCGACGAGAGCATCAGCGACAGGGGCTGGGAGGGGCCCCCCAGCAGGTTGGAGGCGACGATCATCGGGCTGAACTGGGGTGCTCGCTATCGCAGCCGGAAGCTTGCCATACACTGCTCGGGTCGAGCCTGCGCGGCGCCGGCGTCCGCCATCAGGGCCTTTGCGCGCAGGATCTACCGCGCCATGCTTTTCGACGTAGCGCTGCCGGCCGAGTTCGACTGGGCCGGGCGTTTGAGGACAAGAGTATCGCCTATGACGGGTCGGAGGTATCCACGCCGCCGCGGCCGACGCTCGAGCAGGTGTTTGACGGACTACCACCCCCGGAATGCGGCTTCCATCGAGGCCGCCGACTTGGCCGCGGGCTTCGTGCGCGCCGCCTTGCTGGGCCAGTCGCGCGTCCTGCTTCCGCCCGCTGAGCGGCGAGTGGTGGCCGCCTCGGCGCATGTCTGGGCCTCGCCCGAGGAGTGGCGCCGCGTCGCGGGCGCCCTCGACGCGCGCGGCATGGTTGGCCCCGGCGAGCTGTCCGAGATCGCGGCGGGGGGCGGGCGGCAGCTGCTGAACGGGGCCTTCGGCGTTTTCGAGCCGCGCGACCCGCCAGTGCACTGCCTGGGTGGGATGGGCAGACCCGCTCTCGGGCTGATCACGAACCTGATCCCGTCTCGCGCGCGCCGGGCTGTGATGCGGGGCGACGCCCTAGAGCGGCGCTGCACGAGCCAGCTCGACGGTCTGGTGTCCTGACCGAGACGGAGGGCCCCCCGTGGAGCGGCGCGGACAGGAAGGCCTTCTTCTACGTCTTCCGCGCTCCTGCCCCGAGGTGGCCGCGCGTGGTACTCGGGGGCCCCGCCCCCGCCGACCTGGTGGGCGGCCAGCCGGGTGCGTCCGCCCATATCTGCCTGGAGGTGAGCGCGGTCGGGGCCGCGGCGCACCTGCGCCGCAACATGCTGCGCCGCAGCCGCGAAGTGCCGCGAGGTTTGCGGCCCGGCGGCGAGGTCGCCGCCTACGTTCCGGAGTGGTGCGGTCCCGCCCCGCAGCCTGGCTGATCTGTATCGCCAACTTGGAAATCGCCGAGGTCCTCAGCAAGAGCGAGGCGGCCGAGCTGGAAGGGGCCGCGCCCGCGCTGCTGACAAGCCCGCGCCGGCTACGAGCAGGTTTGCCCCCCTGGCTCGCCGGGCAAGGACATCCACCGAGTCGCGCGTGCCATCGCCCTCGGCGAGCTCGTGGACGGAGTTGAAGGCGCCCGTCGCCCTCCCGAGGGCTACCTGACGGAGTGCGCGCCAGCCTCGCGTTCTGGGTGATGGGCAAGCGCCGCGCGAGCAGTAAGCCCGTGCAGATCCTGCTGGACTGCCGGGCGTGGGCCTACTGCTTTCGCCGCCCCCTCGCGTCGAACTTTTCTCGCGCATGGCGCTGGCTCGCGGGCGCGCGGGCGGGGGGCCGGGTCGGCCTGGGCGTCGCAGAGGGCCCGCTCCTTTCCTCGGCGCCCCCCGCCCTGTGCGTGGCGGACCTCGGACTGGAGGTCGACCGCCTCGTCGCGGCTTCGGGCGCCTCCGAGATGGCAGGCGCGGTGGTCTGCGGCGCGGGGCTCGCCCCGCGTGGAGGGCGGCCGGCCGCCTGGCGCCGGCGGCCTGGCAATCCCGCCTGCGAGGAGGAGACGGCCCTCATCGCTCTGTTCGATGGGATTGGCAGGGGACGGCGCGCCCTGGAGATCTCGGGCCTCGCCCCGGCGACCCGCCTCTCGTTCGAAATTGGCGCCGCCGCCGTCCGCGCGGCGAGGCGCGCCTGCCAGGGCGCGGCCCACCTCGGCGACGCAAGCGCGATCGACCCGCGCGACCTCGCCAGGCGCCTGAGGGGGCGGGGTCGCATCTCGCGGGTCCTGGCTATGGACGGTTTCCCTTGCCAAGCACGCGCCGCGCTCGACGTCGATCGCCAGGGCCTGGCAGACCCTCGCGCTAGCCTCGCGCAGCACCTGGGGCGGATCGCTGACGGCCTCGCGAAGCAGGTGCCCGAGGCTCGCATCGACATCCCGGGGGGGAGGAATTTTGCGTCGCTGATGGTGACGTGATGATCCTCGTCGGGTGCTTCGACAGAGGGTCCTCTACTTGTTCGAGGCCGGGACATCTGCTGGGTCAAATGCCCCAGGCTCTACTGGTGCTCGTGGGGTCTTCTGCCGAGCCACGAGTCGACCTCCGAGGTCGCGATGTCGACGCTGGTGAAGGGCGTTCGGCGGGCTTGGCGGGCCCGCCTCCACTGCCAGCGTCCGCCTTTGGAGGAGTGGCTGCGAGCTGGCGCGCGCTGCCCTGGCCCTGAAGGAGGAGAGCCACAGCCCGCGTTTGCGCGGTGGGCTCCGAGGAGGCAGCCGAGGCCGCGGCCCGCGGGCATCACGGAGTGCAGTGAAGCAGAGTGGAGCGCTGGGCCGAGGCCGGCTACGCGGCGCCGCCGTGCCAGTTCCGAGGCAAGTGGTGCATGGGCCAGCGCGGCAAGGTCGCGCCACCTCCGCCTCGGTGCGCGAGCAGCTCGCGGGCTTCGCCGAGGACCGCTCAATCCCGCGCATGCCGAGCGGCGCCGCGAAGGGGGGGCCCGACAAGTACGAGGCCCTGCGCAGGTCTTTGGTCGGCAATTCCTTCCATTGCGAGGTTGTGGCTTGGCTCGTGAGACACTGGGCGGCGGCTGCAGGGCTGCTCGTAGCCGTGCCCTCGCTCGCGGAGCTGCGCGAGAGCGCCCGCGCCTGGGCTGGTGGCCGGGCCGCCGCCTGGGCCGGGGACCTTGCCCCCCTGCGGCGCGGGCGCAAGGCCCTCCAGCCCTGGCGCCTCGACGACGAGCTGGGCCAGCCGGGCGGCTCCGCGTGCGTCGGTCGGGGATCGCAGGGTGTCGGCGTCCCGAGCTCGACCTAGGGCAACCCCTTCCGCGTGACCAAGGGGCGCGCCCGTGAGGGGGCCGTGGCGCT